GATGTTTACAAATGGACACTGGTTCAAAAAAAAGGTTAAGAACCACTGCTCTAATACAGCACTCTAAAAAGATAACCTCAAAAACTGAAAAATAACTTGAGTCTGCTTTTTGGGAGATTTTATCATGTAAGATCATGAAAGTACTTATTTAATTACAAACACTATCATTATTTACACCATCTATTAGTGAGAGCATAAGACAGGAAATTCCACCTATTTTTTGACACGACACACACGACAGAAATAAGGAAAATATCTGTTTGAAAGAAAATTTTACTTTCAGATAGTAAGTTTACTCAGCCAGTTTCAGGCTTGATGTAACCCTACTTCAGGAATGGGCTTGGCTCTTCTGTAAAGATATGCTTAGATACTTTAAACATATTCTTCCCATAACAACTTCTCGTTTTTCGTGTTTTGATGACGGAGCATGTCTCTTTCCCAAACCATGAAATATTACTTGTGAGATTCAGGAACTCTTTACGTTCCTTAACAAGCAGACTTCTGGAGACATTAACTTTGCAGTGGTGAGATAGCCAAGTGCAGCAATGCATTAAACACTACATTACATATCTCTATTCAATCTGAATAAGTTATTACCTCTGCTATCCCACCAGTCAATTACAAGAAGGCAAATGTGAATCCTTTACAATTACTGTGTGGTATTACTTTTGCTTTGTGCCTACAAATCTGCAAAGCACTAATCTTACAAAACCAACATCCATCCTTCATTTTGGTAGTGCCAGTGACAGGCATACTCCCTCACTTATAATGCAAAATAAGACAGCAAGATGCAAAGGCATTTATTTCACTGCCTTTTCATACTAGGCTCAGATGCTGCCTACTTTTCAAAGCTGTAATTCTATTTCTGACGCATCTATCAAGAGATGCCGAGTATGAAAATCATAGCTTGCAAAGAGGTCAGTTTGACTCAATACCCACCCCTGTGACTAGCAGTGAACTATCCTGTTAAAACAGGCAACGAGCTGCAAACAAAAACAAGGCATTTTTCCAAATAAAAGCTACAAACCCAGCACATTCTCTCTCTGCTCATCCCATTTTCACTTAAAACACACTGCTTGAGGCTGTTTGGGGTTTTATTAATACAAAAAGGCATTTTCCAAGTGTAAAGAAGAGGGCAATGATGACAACAAGCACAGAAAGGAAGAGTTTATTTTCCTAAACTAAATTTCCTCCAGCCCCATAAGCATTCTTTGGCTAAACTAACATCTTCAAACCCACAGGCCATATTGCAATTCTTGGCAAAGCCACTCCCAGGGACAGCTGACTATATTTCTGCTGTGCAGCCCCAAGGCTTTGCCTCGTGCTGTGGCAAACTCACTTAAAACCACTTCCTGAGCTCAAGAACCTCAGAAGAAAGAGACTCTTTCCTCAGCCCAGGACTGCGCCCGCTTCTTACATGCCTTCATCACTATACCAGTGATCAGAGCAAAGCTACTAGACCCCAGGCCCACAGGCCAGACGCAGCCCCTCATGGGCCAGGTAAGGGGTTGGCAGGGACACCGCTCCCCTGCTGCCTGACTGCCAGAGCTGTGGGGAGCCGTCAGCCCTGAGCACTAGCGCAGGACAGCACAGGCAGTGCCAGTCCCCAGGGTTGCACAGCAGTGGCATTGCCAGGTGTACAATAATTATCATATTTGTACAATTTCAACCCTTATACAACGCATGATAGATGATACTAAAAGTGTTCAAAATGTATGATAGGCAGACAAGGTTCTTTAGGTAAATCCAATTATCTTTTCTTAGACCAACTCAAACAGCTGGAAAAATTATTTGCAAAAGCTTTCATGTACAAACACCCTTCATCAGGCCTGTACCTTCATTTGTATCCAAAAGCTTGCAAAGAAGAATTTTTCCAACTATTTGAGTTGCTCCAATAAAAGAGATCAGATTTACCCAAAGAACCTTGTCTGCCTGCGGCCCTTAGGCCAGCGGTTCCCGATCTGTGGTGCGGGTACCACTAACAGTACACAGACAGCCTGTCAGTGGTGCATGTTAACACGTTATAATTCCTTACAGGACAAAAATTAGCTGGCAGTACTTAAGGTTATATAATTTTAAATAGGTGGTGCACAATCGCTTCGAGTTTGGGAAGGGCTGACTTAGACCAGCACAGCTACAACCCATCCTCCCAAAACATACGACTTTGGATGCAGTTATTTGATGCAGCCTATGTAAAACCCAAGCCAAGCTCAGGGACTGACTTCTGGATGTACTATCGGTGCTTCCTTACAGCAGCTTGCCTCCAAATAAAGACTCGCTTCCACTTGGATGACCCAGTTCTCACTCGCAGGAGCCTTCTAATGAGATTTTTATATATATATATATATATATATATATATATAAAAATCTCATTAGAAGGCTCCTGCGAGTGAGAACTGGGTCATCCAAGTGGAAGCGAGTCTTTATTTGGAGGCAAGCTGCTGTAAGGAAGCACCGATAGTACATCCAGAAGTCAGTCCCTGAGCTTGGCTTGGGTTTTACATAGGCTGCATCAAATAACTGCATCCAAAGTCGTATGTTTTGGGAGGATGGGTTGTAGCTGTGCTGGTCTAAGTCAGCCCTTCCCAAACTCGAAGCGATTGTGCACCACCTATTTAAAATTATATAACCTTAAGTACTGCCAGCTAATTTTTGTCCTGTAAGGAATTATAACGTGTTAACATGCACCACTGACAGGCTGTCTGTGTACTGTTAGTGGTACCCGCACCACAGATCGGGAACCGCTGGCCTAAGGGCCGCAGGCAGACAAGGTTCTTTGGGTAAATCTGATCTCTTTTATTGGAGCAACTCAAATAGTTGGAAAAATTCTTCTTTGCAAGCTTTTGGATACAAATGAAGGTACAGGCCTGATGAAGGGTGTTTGTACATGAAAGCTTTTGCAAATAATTTTTCCAGCTGTTTGAGTTGGTCTAAGAAAAGATAATTGGATTTACCTAAAGAACCTTGTCTGCCTATCATACATTTTGAACACTTTTAGTATCATCTATCATGCGTTGTATAAGGGTTGAAATTGTACAAATATGATAATTATTGTACACCTGGCAATGCCACTGCTGTGCAACCCTGGGGACTGGCACTGCCTGTGCTGTCCTGCGCTAGTGCTCAGGGCTGACGGCTCCCCACAGCTCTGGCAGTCAGGCAGCAGGGGAGCGGTGTCCCTGCCAACCCCTTACCTGGCCCATGAGGGGCTGCGTCTGGCCTGTGGGCCTGGGGTCTAGTAGCTTTGCTCTGATCACTGGTATAGTGATGAAGGCATGTAAGAAGCGGGCGCAGTCCTGGGCTGAGGAAAGAGTCTCTTTCTTCTGAGGTTCTTGAGCTCAGGAAGTGGTTTTAAGTGAGTTTGCCACAGCACGAGGCAAAGCCTTGGGGCTGCACAGCAGAAATATAGTCAGCTGTCCCTGGGAGTGGCTTTGCCAAGAATTGCAATATGGCCTGTGGGTTTGAAGATGTTAGTTTAGCCAAAGAA